AAAGTTCTACCACAATACCTAACAATTAATGTAAAAAAAAACATGTGTACTTTCATCTTTATTACTTGATACCACAACTTACCTAAGAGGGAAACCATATCTTTCCACAGACTCTTGGAAGAAGCACAGCGCAGTCGATGCTGAATTGCTTGTGGCAGCGCCGAGGTACATTATCTGTAGAATTAGAAATAGCATTGTTAGTTTTATTTTTCTGGTACATTAACAATTCCAATGTTGCATTATATTGTACAACAAAAACAAATTCACCTTTCGTGAAAAGCCATCCACCCCTCCAAACAAGACAATGTTATACCTGAAAGCAAAGGCATTAGACTGGTGTTCTCAATTTTGGCCCTTGAGATCCACTCTCCTACAGAGTTTAGCTCCAATCTTGATTGACTCACCTACCTAGTACTTTCTAGTAATCCTGAAGAGCTTGATTAACTTGTCCATGTATGTTTGGCTAGGGTTGGAGCTAAACTAAAAAAAAGACCTCAAGGGCCAGAGTTTGAACTGCTACATCAGACAGAAGTTTCCTTATCAATTTGTGATTGGTGTCTATGTGCATCAGAGATTTGGGCCCTGGGACAGAATACCTCCTCCGGACAACACAACCCAGCTGCGTCATCCTGGATAAAACTCCCAGTGTGTCTACTCGATGCAGCGATGCCCTGACTCGGTCATACAGTATTGTACCCTGTGGCCTTCAGCTTTTAAAGCTCCTTTTACCATTCTGTATCCAGAATTTGGCATTCGGGACTTAATGTTTGACACTAATGTGTCTAGCTCATCATCTGTTAGTGAGCTGTACAGTGATCTCACAGATAGATCGAACTCTGCTAGTCGTCTGTGTACAGTGCGTTCAGATACCCTCAAAAGCCTTGCAATACACCTGACTGGTAAGTTCATTTCAAGCAAATTGACGAGATACTCACGACCAATGATTGCTTTTGGTCGTCCACTATTTCCTTGTTCAAATTGTGCTGTCACAACATGCGTCTCGTTTCTTTGCCTCTCTAAAGTAATTGCATGATGCAGACCAGTTAAGCCGTCCCATATGTCCACAGGAATAATGACCTATGGTGATACAGCACTCAGGAAAACCAACTCCTGAACACAGATCAATTCTAAGAAGTCCACATCCACAGGCATCCGTGAAAGTGCAAGCTCCAAACGTGACTGAAGTCTCCCCCATATATTTTCCAGAAGTATCTGTTCCTGTAAAAAGAAAGACAGCAGTTAGCTTAGGAAAAGGAATGCATAAATGACATGACCAAAATGGTTAATGCTAATGAGGTACTTATTTTGCAAAGCTGACAATTGTTAGCTCATTGTTGTAATTTATTACAATAATGCACATTTACTCACACACAACATAAGAAACTGTAAAGTGTTTTTTTTAAAACATCATTAGCTTTTTTGTGCCGTTTGCTTAGATTTCATTTACAAATGTTTTTGTAAGTTACTAATTATAACCATTTAATTGTACAGAAAGAGAGCAAATAATTATTAAAGAACATTATCATTGAGTTCAACCACTCTCAAAAACTCCTATTATAATCACTGAATTGGTTTACACTGTGCAATTTACTGTGCACTTACACTGTATGCACACATCTGTAATTTGTTGTTTATGATGAGACAACTCGCTAGAGAGCAGCGAGCGCGCAACAGCAAAAGTTTCAGTCATGACTCATCTGAACGCCTCTGATTGATCATTGCATTCATAAAAAAAGAATTGCGTGTGATTGTTTATAATGCGTAACACTGTAAAATGCGTCTGTTGCGCAGCACCAGCCAGTGAAGGTAGATTAAAATTTAGCAGCTGATGATGTGATATTTTTGTCGGTTGGGTCCCTCTCTATAGGTCTATACCTGACAGAACAAATAGACTCAGGGACAGTTTTTTCCCCAAAGCTGTTTCCATACTGAACTCAGATCTGCACTGAAAACTGTTATATTTGTAGTATATTGCATTTATATTATACCCTCATTTTGCGCTATCTATACTACCTCTACCATACTGTATGCTGCTCGCCACTTTGGACCAAAGTATGTTTAATCTGATTTATTTGTTTGTCTGTGTACTGTAGTTATAGTTTTTAGTACATCACTTATACATTGCGCTGTGTGCACTTTTAAGGAGCTGCTCTAAATCTCATTGCACTGTGTATAATGACAATAAAGGCTTTCTATTCTATTGTATTGTATTCTATTCTA